TGATTTTAACATTACCTGTACTGAATAAAATATATTTTTGTCATTATATTAAAGATACGTGTATAACGACATACATTAGCGGCTCTGTATCCAGATTAAGTATTAAAATATCATCAAAATATAAGAGACTAATAAACTTCAAAGCACTAAAAATATGTACCGCTTAAATGTGAAACTTTTATTACACTTTTGATTAGGTAATGCAAGAGTTGCAATTTGGTAATATATGAAGTAAATACTTGGGGGGTACTATCCATGTTTACAGAATATACCTACATAACTAGCGATTCGCCCTAGCGCACGGGTGCAACGTAGATACTACTAATACTACTAATGTGGCGTCAGCGTGGAGTAATTGCTTACAGTATTATTGTGCTAGGACTATACTACAGGACATCTTCAAATGAAATTTTTAGAGGCCCGCTCCGATCCTGCCCGCAACTGTCACCCGGGACGGACGTACGGCTCGACGGTCGTTGGGGCTCCGCATTTTAAACCTCTATCTTCTAAAATATTCATTTTAATGATAATAATAATAATATCGCTTTATTGTACAACAGGTACAAATATACAATGAGCAAATGATATGCGATAAAGGGAAATTTTATTCTACATTAAATGCAAAACTTATCTAACGTATTTAATTAGATAAGGAATAATAATGTATTGTTTAAAATAGCTTCGTAAATAACCCATTATTTATTTATAATATCTCAAAGATAAAAATGGTTACCATGGCTTATTCTTAAGAGATAGACATATAAAATCTCGGACTTTTTTGTAAATCTTTTTACGATATTAGATTAACATATAGATATACAATTCCGCAGTACATTATTTTGGTCTATCTCGTAAGGTTTAGCCAACGAGCGTTTGCAATGTAAGGGCACAAAAACATGTCTTTCACAACAAATCTTTGAAATTCTCGGATTTTCTCTGCTGTAATATGCATTTATATTTTACATAACCTTTCCTCTTGAATCACTCTCTATTGGTGAAAACAGCATTAAAATCAGTTGCTTAGTTTAAAAGATCGAAGCGTATAACACAAAAATAACACTTTATTTTATAGTATGTAAAGATAGCACCTCTACGAAGTCCAAGAAGGACCTAAGACGACCTAAGAGGCGTAAAACCGAATTTCAAATAGTGACAGTGGACTCGTGGAGTCAAGCAAAGCTGCCTTGTCCAATGGTCCTTGAGGTTTAAACTCTATAAAGGCTACATATTTCAAAACTATTACTGAATATAACATTGAGTTTATTGCACGGAGGGTTTTCCTCCTACACTTGACATTGCAGACAACCTACCAATGGTCTGTCTATTTCATTAACGCACAACAATAGCATAGCTATTAGTTTTCAATTGAACATTCTGTCAACATAACTTATATTAAATGGCATTCAATATTATTAATATTTTGAAGTTATAAGAAACAAATGAATTCCGGCTAGAACAGGACGTAGTAGAGTACATGGTAGATGAATGATTGACCAGGTCATACCATCCAGACAAGCAATGTCTGCGTAAGAATTAAATTTTTTACGATAATTGGCCATGTTGTTATTTGAAGAACCTAATGTCCACTTTTGGTCAGTTATCGTGACCCTCGCTAAGTTTCTTAACTGCGTTGTACGATCGCACTGATAACAATACTAAATGCCAGGGACAAACTGCACAATATTTTTGAAGATCGTATTTATTTATTTTTTATTAAGTGACCAATTGAAAACAGAAACATCAAGCGACTTATGAACGTTAGAAGCAACGTGTGCACAAATTGAATAGTGACTAATATTTGTTTACATTCTAATTTCGCCAGCTGACGTAAACTATGATTCGTTTAAAGTATTAGTCGTGTATAAAGTTTGCATCAGATTCATCCGAGGTTTTGTTTGCATCATCAACGACTCAATAACAGTTTTTAGTAACTTTTGCACTATCACTTGACCTGATAATTAATCAGCGAGAATGCACCGTTAATTAAGTTTGATTTAGTTTAGTTAGTAGTTAGTTAATTTTAATTTAATTTTATAACATTATGATGCAGTTTGGTGTCGAAAAAGTAAAGCCTGAGTTTTTTGAGATCAGAGACTACATACGATGTCTTCTCGTAACAAGATCATTAAAACAATAAATCAGTACCTAGTAGCCCCTTCAATACCTATCAGTACCTAGTTATGTATTGAAGGTCAGGCAATGTAGCTACTTAGTGGTCATCGCGGCTTCTGCTATCGCGATTAGTATTGTGTTCGATAATATGGAAATTAACCTATACATACCACATAATAAAGACGCAAACCTATTAAGTCATTACCAAGACTTATTAACGAAATTCATTTTGTTATTGTTACTAGTTAGTTTCTAATAAGGTAATCTTATAGTGTTCTGATTACAAAAACTGTTTTCAAGTTACTATAATAAATGAGACCCATTTCATTTCTCATTATGCAATAAACAGTACAGTATCAGACAAATGAGATCTTCCTACTTCATAATAATGCTAAAGGCATCACAAGATACGATTGAGCACGATACGTACAACTTATCAGGTGTCTTTTATCTCGTGTAGATAAATGTTGTTCTTCAGTATTTTGTAATACCGACTTCGCCGTATTTTATTAGCGATTATTCATTCAGAACACGATTCATATTCCTCGTTAGGGAGTTGGGACGAAAATCTTTTTTTACGTTATTGATCGCTGAAACCCAGTTTCCTAGAATTTATTTTAAGAAGAGGGCTTCTCCAAACTCAAATTATTTATTTCATAAATCATTATCATCATCAACAGCCTTTAATAGTTAACTGCTGTACATAGGCCTCTCCTTAGAAAGAAGGCTTTGGCCCTATAGTAGGCCACGCCATATTGGTTATCTCTTTAAAAAGACAACTCCCGCATTAAGAATAAATCCTGTGTCGCGGGGGACTTTACAAACATACATGAAACGGACACAAAGAACACCCAGATTCAGAACAACAATTTGTGGATCACACAAAGTGTCGTCCCATGTGGGGTTTGAACCCACAACACTCGGCGTAGTAGGTATAATAGGTATAGCTTATAGGCTTTGTATCAATATTTCCTTCTCTTTGCAGTGCTGTTGTCCTGTGTAGTTTGTTCCCTTATTCGGCTTTTACGACATCCACGGAATAAATAGGGGTCACTCTGTATTTTTAATCAATTTTTCAAAATCGACTGGTCCTTTAAAAAATTTAGACCAAGAAAAGAGAACAGATAATACCTACTGTGTGTGCTTGTGTTAATTTAGTCGCTCATTTCCAAATGTTGAGCCTTTTGCCAAGAAATCTAAGCAAACAGATATGCGATATCGATGCTTTATAACTTGTAACAAATCAATGGTCGCTTTAATGACCTCACAATTGGAGTATGTTTCTGATACAAATATGTCAAATAGATACGGACGAGACAGACTGGGGGCTCAAGGTGAGATCAATTCATATTCTTATGAGTCTACACTGTCTACAGTGGCTTAGATTACAATCGGCAAGGATTACGAATCTTCTTTTTTAAGTTATTTCTTTATGTGCAGTTTACATTGTTGATGTACTAACAAATATAATAGGTAAATAAAAATTAAGTATCATGTAAGGCAAATTTTAAATGAAGAATCTTAAAAATAGATTTTCTTACCCTCACCATAAAATCTCAGTTGCTTTAATTAATGATATTACCATCTAATACACCTAACTTATTGAGCCGACTAACTTAGCGGCAACTAGGTACTTTCCTTGGGTATTCCAAAGATTCTTTCCTGTATCTAGGTATGTTCAAACTCATAAAACATATGTTTTAGATATTTTATTCATTAAACCATCAACTAGCAAGGAGATAACCTACCTACGATGAGTGTACATGAGTCGGTAAAATTATTTGTAACATTGACATACTTAATTTTAGACAAAAAAAAATGATTTATATGCTTATTTCCCATAATATTGCAAACTGATTGGTGAACCATTAAATGTCTAATGATAAAAAATGCAGTTGCATATTATATTATAATGTTGATCGTGACAGAATGTGGGTCAATCCCACGGCTTCATTTCACTTTGCACATACAACTAGTCAGCGCCATCGGGCAAAATGGAAATCGATTTCTAGCACACTAAGCTGTAATTTTCAGTTCAAGGACAACGAAGAATCTATAGGATCCATTTTATTTTCTGTAATAATAAATAAAAATTACTATTTTAATACTATTAGATAACCTTTTAGCTGTTCTACTGGTAATTTTTATCTGACCATGTATACTGACCGGTTCATATCAAGACGGCCTTGTTTGACCTCAAGTAGCTCCCAAAAAAATACTTTTGTGATCTATTATTAATTGCACTAGAATACTTTGTAATTAGTAACCTGTTAAGTCAGAAATAGGAAACAAGTTCATTTACTGGTTTATCTTGAAAGAATATTTGTCTATTTTTAAAGAAAATAAAACTGGCATTAAAATATACGCTCGTAAATGAGAGGTTAGACGAACCCCTGGTAAACAGACTGACGACGTTCGAAAGGTAGCTGGGGTAGATTGGATGCGGAAGGCAGAGGCCCATTTTTTGTGACTGATATAATTGAGGCGAGACAAGAATAGCGGAAATTACCTATACTGCAATTGTACATTTTATCTGCATATATGGTCTATCTAATTTTCCTAAAGAAAGAAAGAAGTTTCTAAAGAATTCCTCACATCACAATATGATAGTTCGTTAGAAGAGCAGGATTCAGGAGTAGCGATGACCACGACGATGATTATGAATAACAATTTTCTTTGTATTCACACTGTTTCACAGTAAAACTAAGGATTTATTGAAAGGAAACTAAGTAATAATGAAAATTAATTTATTAAATAACCTCATTAACTTACGGAGACTCCCATACACGGCCAGCCCTGTAACCTATATATACAATTCGGGCCGCTTACTTTATATGTACATCACGTGCTGGACAGGATTGAATCACAGGAAAAAATGTGTATGTGTCCTAGACCGGTGCACCGACTTCTTCCTGGTACGATCTCGTTAGATGTGCTGCGGCGGCCGTGAGCTGCCGGAGGGAGCGGCGCAGACCACGCAAATGCCGACGACAGGCCGCTGCGGCACGCACTGCAGATTCCCGCTCATCCTCACCCTCAATACCAGAGTCACCAGCTGCACTTGAGGCATCACTTTCAGTATCGCTGATATCAGACACCCGTCTACCTCTTTCTTCATGCTCTTCAGTGTCACCACTAGACCATAAGAGCTCAGTCTTCAAATCATTAAGCATGGAAAACATGCTGAATGGGTCATCGTCACCTTCCTGTGGCAGGTTCATCAGACGGCTAGGCACTAGCACGGTGTCATCCATAACATTCACCATTTTGACAAATTTCTCCATGTCATTGAGTATGCTCTGCTTGGAGAATTCGGTGTCATCGTGCCTGGCTATTTTGCGTAAGGTGTTCCTGCAACAATGACAAATAATTGTTTAGAATTTTATGTTGAAGCTTTGAAGCATAGGTTTTTAAGGACAAGAGGTATACATATATTTTGTTTTAAGGGATTTGACTTTGTCTGCATTGCGTTTAGGTACTATAGGATAAAGGTAACTTCATAAAAATCATATGCTAAATTATATAAAACTATTCTTTCTGGCATACAAATAGGAGAACATTCTGACAACCATTCATCTTTACATTTCACATTACTCATAATATGTACTAATATTTTCATAAGAACTACATAAACATTCCGAATAATACTCAACTCATTCAGTCAATTACAATTAAAATTAAATTGACATTTGCACATGTGGCATTCCAGCATCAATAGTTCATATTAAACTTTTTTCTAAATATGACTAGAACAGTAAATTGTCTCTTCCAATCCAAATAAAAGAAAATATTTGATTGTTCCTTAAAATGGCATTGAAGTACAACACATACACAACAATTGTTCTTGAAAAGTAACTTAAAACAATAAAATTAGTGCCATATCTCATCAGCTTATATATCATTTTCTTAGTTTTTGTTAATATAAACTCATCTACCTGACTAATTAACAAAGCTTAAACTATATGACACTTATAACCATTCTCAAGAATTTGATACTTCAAATATTGTGTGACTATGTGTACTAACAATTGTGACATGCAAACATGGGTCTGAAAATCATTATGTACAGTAAGCTGGTATTTCCATAGATAATATTCCTATTTAACAGCATTCAAGTTCCAGCATCATTGAATAATAAACATTTTCAAAGATCAGGTGATGTATAGTGAAAGTGTCTTCGTGATAAAGTAATTGAGCTAAGAGAACTGCATACAGCTATAGAAAGAGACAGATATATGGGACAAATATATAGATTAGAGTGAGATGCCATAACAGTAGCTATCTTCCTTTTTTTTTCAATATTAGAGCAAGTAATAAATAAATGATAGTGATGTATGTTATATCACCATAACTGGTTTAAGATAACCTGATTTTATGGTAAATATTCATAATGCTCTAAAAGTATGGGTTGCTATGTGTAAAAAGATAATGAAAACTCATAAAAAGCAATATGTGGTAAAAATATGGTCCTTGTATGTAATTAGTTTAAAGTGGATTCTATAACTGTAGGCCTTTGTGATAGAAGACTGTAGGTATATTATATGTGCTGTTGCTATGTAGGTATAAGATTGATGATACCATAAATCAATTTATTGCAACTTGATATAAAATTGTATGTGAATTACTAAAAGGCAATATTGTTAATGTTACCAATGTTGTGTTAAATTATTTGCTATTAATAATAATAATAATTCGTAAAACTGGATGCCTAACATTTTTTGGCTTCGTTTGAACCTTGAAAAGGTAACGGTTGACATAACACGGCTGATGTAATAGTAACTTCAAAAGCCTGTAACGAGAATCCAATTGGAACAGAATTATGAATGAAATCGGTAAGTATTAGATGACTATCTGAGTCACTACGCGCACGCCCAGAACACGGGATAACCTTATATTGATGAAACTATTAGCAATTTGCCTTAATTCGGAAATGCCACTTGAACGCACAATAAAAATGACTTGAGTTCAAAAATGACTCGTCAGCAATGTGAAATTTGGTTTTATAATCACAATTACATTTTCGACCACACTTCTTTCTCTGTTCTCATCCAATCTCCATAAATACACATTCACTCAACCAGCTTACCACACGATTTCCAAAACTCATCACCAATAGGTCACAACTACACAGGGCACAGGGCCGCCAGGGACATGCAGCCAATGCAATCGAATGCATCGGCCATGGATGTATGTAAGCCAACACTCCGTACCTGCTATTCTCCAAGTTTGTTGATATGTCAGTGTTGAAAGACATTTTCTGGTGTTATTTAATAATTTAAATATCACTGAACACACACGCCCTAATTTTGTGATGTCACTATTGAATTGACGTTAACAAGCACGGCTTGCGAAATAACGCGAACTGAAACTGAGCCACTGACAACCGTGCGCGACAGAAAGGTTTGACGTTTTGCTAGAGGTGGGGAGCGTTCTCGTATTTATATATGACACGATCATACGATGCGGGGGAAGCGAACTTCGAATTTTATCGCCGTAGGTATTATAGAATAATAAACTGATGATAATGTATTTAATTATTGTTATTCAACTTACTGCCATAACGAATACGTTTGTAACTTTTGCGCAAAGCTGGGACGCGTATTTAAGTCAGAAAAACAAAATCTGTTTAGATATTTGCGATCGCCCGGGCGCGTCCCACCAGAGTCACACCACATTCAGACGCTGCGATTGGCTGGCTCAACCTTTACGGGTTTTTTTATTGGTTTGCCAGTTTTAAACTTTGCGCGGGTATTTCGAACTAAGGTTAATGTATTATTTTGAAGTGAACAAGAGCACTTTATTGTCGTTATTTTTGAGTTTCTAATATGATACCCTGCCATTAATTGAAAACAACAAAGCATTTACGGTTACCAACCCCTGAAAGCATTTATTATTCACTTTCTTTCAGTAAATAAGGCGAAAGGTCTTTGGAATATGCTTACTTATTGTATGCTAAGTGGTAAACTGATTGCCCCTATTTACCTGCGTAGATTGCATGTACTTACATATTATTTAGCATATTGATATGAATTAAATATACCGAAATACTTGGCTTAATTATTTCTATCAAATTACTATTTTCCTTAATTTTAATAATGTTTTTGAAATATTGGTTTCTAAAATAAAACCTTAAACTATCTATCTCTAATATCTATCGGAGCATTGCAGAAATGAGAGATGCATCTAATATAGAAAAGTCTGGACCACAATGAAACTTGCTTAGCAATGACGTTTTGTGCCACCTAGATTTGAGTCGCCAAATGCATTGTTATCAAGAATCTATTTATATGTGCATTAGGTGCAAGTAGATACATTATGTACCTGGGTAAAAATCTTTGTAAATAAGATAAGTTCGTAGTTTATTGTACAACAAATGTTTGTGTTCTATGACTTAAACATAAATTAATTCATGTATTTGTCTTCTAATGGATTTAAAGAGGATCTCGTGTACCCAAACACCTTACCAACAGAACAGTGAATTGTTCTGTGACCTAGCCCTATCTGTTGTCTTGTATGCGTTTGCAAAAGGGGAATAGGGTGATTAGACCTCACTCGTTCGGTAAAAAAAATGATCTGAAAATTGAATTAAAATGGTAAACCATTTTTCATTTTTTTCATGATAAACCAGTTTGTCTGCTCATAGCGTTCCTAAAATTTAACCACACTTTCCTAAAACGCTCTGTTTTATCTAAGGGTCTATCTATAGGATTGGGTAATTATGAGCTGTCTCATTGGATGATATTCTACAATATTTAATTTGTAATTTTATTAAGTATATTATATTTGAATTCAATAAAATTAACAAAACATGCATTAAGGTTTTTAAGTGTGAAAATTCAATGAACATTGTTTTTTTTTAAGTAAGACCGAAATTTCCATGATGCATCACTTACACATAGTTACTTCCGTAATGCATGGTCAGGCTGTTGCTTACTGATGATCTCTTATATAATATATGGTTTGTAGTTGTACATGCATTTCTAAACATAGGAAAGTAATAACGATATGACTGGATGGAAATCATGGAATGCGTAGAGGTTTAAGCGGTCACCTCGCCACAGATTAGGTACTGTACATCCCCATTTGTCCACAAATTCTTGTCCTGAATCTGGGTGTTCTTTACGTCCGTTTGTAAAGTCCCCCGCGAGATAGGATTGTATTACTAGTGCGGGAGTTGTCTTTTAAAAAACATAAAACAATATTAACAGATACTACGCTTGTCCAAAACATTATAGAGTTTCACTATTGCGAGTTTTACCTATTTAAAAATAAGTTTTTTCATAGGTTGTCACTCTTTGATAACTGCCACCAGATAAACCGTTTGTTTTAATAAATATATTAAAGTAGTAACAACCTTATCGTACATACCAAAAGTTATTATTTTTAGTATGTGCTATACTACAACTAACTATAACTTCCAGAAGATAAGAGCAAAATTTTATTTTTATTATTAAACAATTCTTCCTTTCATGAGAATTTCATCAGATCATGTTTTTATCTTTCCTAGAATATAACAAGTGACATGTATTAAAGCTAAAACGGCCGCTGCGCTATACAGCCACAAAGTCTGTATTAGTGTGAAAATATTACGGTATGACCGTAATATTTTCACACTAATACAGACTTTGTGCTGTCTGCAGTTTGGATGCCCATTGACGTAACATTTACTATTTTCAACCGCTACATATCGTGCGCTAAATGGCGACATTACTAGCTTTTCCTTATAGGTAACTCGCAGAAAACAAATATTGGTGACGTATTTTAGACGTAATTTACACTCCTTTCTGTCTCCAATGACGTGGTTTTAAATTTAATATAGAAACAGAACTGTTTTTAAGGTATCTTGTACCTATAGATTTTGCGTCATCGGACTTTGAGTGACTTTCAAAGCAAGCATTTTTTTTTCAAAATGTGTTATATAAATTACGGCTTTTCAGGAATTCTTTCTTTAAAGACTAGATTAATTAATGACTAGTTAAATAAAGTGCCAAATTGTTCAGAATCATACTGTTTGGAAGTCTATAATTAAGTAGGTAGATTAGGAATAGACGTTTGAAATTTCATGAAATTACAAAACTTATGGTTTTTAGTGCTGTATTTACATAATAATATAAATCAGTCTAAAATCTTGCAGACCATCAGATCCGAAGGCACGAACCTACTTTGAAAAGCTAATCTTAAGGATTGGTCTTTCTGCTGAATAGAGGCTTTTAAAACAATGAAAACTAACCCACACACACTTGAATTTTCAAATAATTCAAGTTTATATAACACTAGCAAGAAGAAGCTAGAAGAAATTTCAAATAATTCAAGTTTATATAATACTAGCTTTTGGGCGCGGTTCCGCCCGCGTGTATGTCGGTTATTGCGGTATAAAGTAGCCTATGTTATGTTGATTTTAAGGTCAGTTTAGTGGTTTAGGCGTGAAAGCGTAATAAACAAACTCACTTTCACATTTATAATTTAAAAATAGGAATGTTTCAAAAGAATTAAAACAATGTTCTCTATGAAGTTAAAATAATAAATATGTAAAAATCGCTAAACAAACCAATAGAAGTCCGGTACATATTTAGACCTGTCCAAGAACGAAAGTATGTACCTACTATACCAGATCAAATTATACTGGTAACTTTAGTCCATCTAATCTAAGAGGTACCATTTGACGTTTCATACTTTTCAAGACGAAATAGAGTTGTATAGGCGTAACTCACACAATTTTTATAACCATTTCCGTAAAACCAAAGAGTTATGTTATTTTTATTTTGTCGCATGATATGCAATTCTTAATGACTAAATTTAAATTTAAATCTTTGAAACAAAGCAAAATAACCAATTTATACACAATAGATGTTTTTTTTTACAAACTTCGTTTCTTCCTTTTCTTCCTTCCTTTTTTAAAAGACAACTCCCGCATTAGGAATAAATCCTGTGTCGCGGGGGACTTTACAAACATACATGAAACGGACACAAAGAACACCCAGACTCAGAACAACAATTTGTGGATCACACAAAGTGTCGTCCCATGTGGGGTTTGAACCCACAACACTCGGCGTAGTAGGAAACAAGTTCAAAGTTCAAAGTCACATAGTTAGGTCCTTTACCGTAGTGTTGCAGCTCTTCAAATTCACTTGAATACGAATAATCGTTTAAATGTACGAAATATCGAATTTATTAATAACGAGTAATTCTCGGTCCAGGCGTCTTAGTGTTTAATAATACTTAAAATTTATCTGACATCGAATCGCAACGAAAACGCATAATTAAAATTAAAAGTATGTACCAAAGTTAATGTAATTTTAATAAATCTTTGTACTCAAAAAGTAAGTCTAGTGTATACTAGGATTTAATAGTAAAACCTATGATGTGCCATTACACAGGCTTTATAGTATCACATATAAATCTGTAAAACTGTAATCGATTACTACATACCAAGAAATGATATCGAAATCTCTTAAGAACCAGATATTTAGTAATCGATTTCTTTGACCCATCACTGTACTCCAATCTATCAGAACTGTCAAACGGTACCTCTTAGATTAGATGGACTCTAAACATGATTGAATGTCTTCATGAATGAGCAAAACTTGTAACCCTTATTTTTTCACCGACACACCACCCCGCCGTCACCCCACCGGGGTTGTGGTGTGTCGGAATTTTACCGACTAAAACCACACGGTGTGCCACTCTGCGCCTGTAACAGAAGAGATCCGGGAACTGCTATTATTAAGACATCCCCTCATAGCGCCTACCCGCAATGGCGCGGGCACCATCTTCAGGTACATTCTCTATTTCGGCGAAGTCCGCGTGTGCCGGACGTCGCCCAAATAGAGACAAGACAACGTCTTCGCAGAAGGATGCGACCGCGGTGAAACATCTATCAAACTACCGGCCATGGAGCGTATGACGGCCGGTAGCGAGAGGTCCCCTCCTAATTAATTTTCTTACATTTTAGTGCCTCCACGTGGCGCCATTAGACACTGCTGCCGTTACGCGGATCAGCTTGCTGTACATACAAAGTACATCCAGTTTTATCTATACTAATATTATAAAGCTGAAGAGTTTGTTTGTTTGTTTGTTTGTTTGTTTGAACGCGCTAATCTCAGGAACTGCTGGTCCGATTTGAAAAATTCTTTTAGTGTTAGATAGCTCATTTATCGAGGAAGGCTATAGGCTATATATCATCACGCTAAGACCAATAGGAGCGGAGCACCAATGAAGAATGTTTCAAAAACGGAGAAAATTTATTACTATTGA